TCGCTCTTCGCATGCAAGATGAATGATCCAAATGAGCTCGAACAGCTACAAGCGGTCGTCCGTCGGATGGCCGTGCAATCGCAATTCGAACAAGATCTGTAAGTGCCAGAAACGACTGCGTCCGTGACGTAGGCGTCGCATGTCCTAGCTATGGCAGACTTGCACAACGACTCGCACCATTCATTCGAGTAGCTGACGTTCCTGCAGAATCACTAAAAAGAAGCTCGAGCTGGAACAGACCAACAAGGCAGCGCGTGCCAATGATGTCGTGTATCAGAAGTATATACGCTACTACGCAATGAAGGATTGTCTGCGGCTCGTGAATCTGATGCATCAAAAGCTCCCCGTGGAGCTGCGCGACTTGGTGTACGAGTTCCTCTGCGTTGAACCCGATCGTCCTATTCCCGTTGGCCCATACTATCACTTCCGCAAATACGATAAGCCTTTTCACGATCCATTACAGAGGCAACATTACGATGGCTTCGTGGGACCAACCATTTCGTTCAGGGGGGCAGCACCACCGGCTCCTTACCGCGCTATCACCGGTAACAATCCGGACGTCGATGTGAAGACGGGGAAAGCCGATGATAGCAACGATGTGCAATTGAGCCTGGAACTTACAGAACGCATCGCGAACTTGGAGTTAATCCATCGGGATTATGATCGGAGTTTGGTCGACGACGATAATACCACTGTCCTCCCTGACGGCCGAGTCAGAGAAGAACACACACACAAGCCACCGAGGGATATGCCACTTCCATCCAGCCATTTTCTGGACCCCAGATACGTTGGTGCGGAAGCTGCGTATGAGATACAGAAGACATACTACGCGCTCAATACGTTTTCCATATGCAGCGTTGAACGAGCTATATTCGGCTTTTCCGAGAACCACTCCGGCCACAACATTGTGGGATACAACGACGAAGATGGTACCCCCTGGGAAGTACCGGAGGCCGTTCAGACAAAACCACTGCTGTACCCCAGGAACCACATCAGGAATCTCCAGGTTCGCGTCAAATTTGAGCAGTTTATCGAAGACATGCAAAGAGACCACTTCACGGAGCTTGATAAATATTCCTACGAACGACGCTTCCTCCGCTTCACTGAGCAAAACTTGCAAGGTCTCAGCCAATTTCTGAGGGAGCGATCCAAGCACGATATCAACATCGAATTTGTTATCATGACTGAACTCCCAGATTTCACAGATGACGAGTTTGGAGTGAGCGCTCAATGCAACTACGTGAATTTCCTGCAATCTATCAGGAACTGGGTATACATCATGAAGTATGACTGTGACAACATCTCTGTCAAGGTCACGCATCATGACCCACCCATGACGGCTTTTCCGCGTGATATCACAGGGATATTCGGATTAACTCAAAAGCAATGGGAGCAAGTAAGTATAGCATTAGCCAACCTCAGGCAAAGTGTCCCACATTGAGCTAACGGTAATATAGGAGAAAGCCATTCATCAGGATGAAAACACCTGGGTGGCACAATTTTACCTTGCAACCCCATGGATGGATCCGAACGACGTTTCGTTTGGCTATCCCGCTATTGAGGTAGACCATATGCTTCGCGAGCGATGGGGCATGGACTCGATTACAGCTACCGAGGCCACACTCCCCATCACAGAAGGCAGATATTGGCCCAGTTCCATCAACGCGGTGCCTCTTGATCGCAGGTTTGACTAGAGGCAATGGAGAAAAGTGAATACCATACAGCCTACATTAACGTGGGATTTTCTAATCTACATTTTTTGTCCCGGTGTATTCTACAGACGCGTTCGGGTTTTCCCTTGTATGATGTGCCACCAATGCTATCGGCGCTTTCATGTTCATAGATGACGACTACTACTGTCAGACCAGGTATGGCCTTGTCGCTGTTTGACATTGCAGCGACAATCCCTACTGCGACCTTGGGAACATTGATGTTGGTAGCATGTAATTGGTTGACCCGAATTTTATTACGATAGAATGGGCATACTTCACCGGTGGCGTGTTGGACATGCGATGCGCAAGCTTGAACTGGATGCCGTGCTTGCGGCGCGGGCGAAGATGCCGATTGGCCGCGTGCCTGAAAACCAGGGCAGGAACTGTATGGGGCGGTCCCCGTCCCTCGATCTCGAGATCTGAGACCTACAGTGGATTTCTAAGACAACGCACGACTTAGGCTTAGTCTCCGAACAACGTCACTGCATGTGCCGGCGACATGCATGCGTCGTATGGTCGTATCCGCCGACCACAGATGCCGCGCTCTATACGGCAGCATCATCCATGGGCGTCCACTCGTCGCGCGCCCGGATGTGCTAAATCCGACTCGCCGGGCAGCGCCAGGCCTATAATGCACTAGAGTCCGAAAGTCGATGTGATTGACATGGCTCCTTTTGCAGTGGCCACCGCTCGCGCCAAGCCCTGCAATTAAACAATCAGAGATCCTCTTTTCGGCTTCGTCCTCGCGCGGGAATATAATACAGCGTCGATTGACTCCCTTTGGCTTCCCTACGTCCTCCCCTCCGCGACCCTCGCGCCTCCCCTCGTACACAACACAGCGCGGCGCGATCCTAACTTTTTCGACATGGCGGTCAACGCGAGTTTTGTCTCGCCGACGGCGGACGCAAAAGTTGCCCATGTCCTCCAGCAATTCGATACCAGCGGTCTCCTATCCTCCGTCTTCTCCGGCTTCAATGCCTGGAAGCTCGCTCTGACGCTTATTATAACGGCGGTGGCGTACGACCAATGTAGGCATTACGTGTGTTACGTTTGCGCCGGACATTGCTGACACTCGCGCAGTCAAATACATCTGGAACAAGGGCTCAATCGTCGGTCCCTCGTGGAAGATACCCTTCATCGGTCCATTCCTCGAGTCTGTCAACCCCGATTTCAAGAAGTACCACGAAAAATGGATGTCCGGTCCTCTCAGCTGCGTATCCGTCTTCCACAAGTATGCCACCCCGTCACCTGCCCTCAGTCTGTGCCTATACTGACCGCTCCTAGATTCGTCGTCATTGCCTCCACCCGCGACATGGCCCGCAAGATCTTCAACTCCCCCGCCTTCGTTAAGCCCTGCGTCGTCGATGTCGCGCAGAAACTCCTCCGCCCCGAGAACTGGGTCTTCCTGGACGGCCGTGCCCATGTCGACTACCGCAAAGGTCTCAACAGCTTGTTTACTCGTCAAGCGCTCGAACAGTACCTACCGGGCCAGGAGGAAGTCTACAACACATACTTCAAGCGCTTTGTGGAGCTTTCGCAGGTCGAGAACAAGGGCAAGCACATTCCGTGGATGCAAGAGTTCCGCCTCATGATCACTGCGTTGAGCTGCCGTACCTTCGTTGGTCACTACACCTCTGACGAGGCCGTCAAGAAGATCGCCGACGACTACTACCTGATCACCGCTGCGCTCGAGCTTGTCAACTTCCCTATCATTATCCCCTTCACCAAGACCTGGTACGGAAAGAAGTGCGCTGACATGGTCCTGGATGAGTTCTCCAAGTGTGCCGCAAAGAGCAAGGTCCGCATGGCTGCTGGTGGCAAAAAGGAGTGCATTCTCGACTTCTGGGTAGACAACATGATCGAGTCTGAGAAGTACCGCAAGAGGGTTGAAGCTGGCGAGAAGGTCGATGACGCCGAGAAGCCCGCGACTGTCATCCGCTGGTTCAGCGATCTTGAGATCTCCATGACCATCTTCACCTTCCTCTTCGCTTCCCAGGACGCTACCTCTTCTGCCGCCACATGGCTCTTCCAGATCATGGCTGACCGCCCTGAGTACCTCGAGAAGATCCGCGAGGAGAACATCAAGGCCAGAAATGGCGACGTCCACGGTACTCTTTCTCTTGACGCCATCGAGAAGTTGCAATGGACCCGCGCTGTCGTCAAGGAGACTCTCCGCTATCGTCCCCCAGTCATCATGGTTCCTTACCTGGCTAAGAAGGACTTCCCTGTAACACCTGAATACACCGTTCCCAAGGGCTCCATGGTCATTCCTACCACCTACCCGGCACTTCACGACCCTGAAGCATACCCCAACCCAGACTCATTCGAGCCCGAGCGATGGATCACCGGCAACGCTGATCAACAAACCAAGAACTGGCTCGTATTCGGCACAGGTCCCCACTACTGCCTGGGCCAGACTTACGCGCAAGCCAACCTCATGTTGATGATTGGCAAGGCGAGTATGTTGCTTGACTGGGACCACAAGGTCACCGATCAGAGCGAGGTGATCAAGGTGTTTGCCACTATTTTCCCTATGGTAAGTCGTATTGTGTAACATCCACCTTCTTCGGAGTATTCGCTAACCTTTCACAGGATGACTGCCTTCTTACATTCAAGGACCGAACAGCGGCATAACCAGTCAATGTTTTATTCAGCTACGTGATGCGCACATTGAGCGATCTTTTCTTGCATCTGCGTCCGTAGATTTCTGTGTTGAAAATTTGGTTCGTCCAAGGCAGAGGTACACTTGTACTCTGGTCTTGCATCTTTAGACATTAATGATTACGGCCCTTGGCGCTTCTTGAGAAGTAGCCCGTTGGCTTCATGAGTACAGTGTAAGCTGGGATGAATTAATACTGGGACGAGGAGGGGATAAGCTGGGGAGGGGACGGCCTTATATAGGACAGCGATAATGGCATGGAGAATGTATGAAGTCAAGAACAATCTTCGCGTGCTTTTGCAAAACGTGCTGGGTGGATTGCAAGCTCAGTGGTCCACATGTCTACCGCAGGCAGGAACTAGAGCTATGACCATGACCCTTGAAGTCCACTCCACATGCCGATTGTCTTCGTGTTTCCACCGCCTGCTTGCCCGCAGCAGCATCCTCCTGGCTCCACAACCTTTCCACGGATTGCTAGTTTTCGCTTGGGGCGCCATCATAGAAGCGCGCCAGAGGAGTGAATGCCCGACCCATTGCGCACAGTCACGCTGCTTCCAACCGACACCCCATTACCAACAGTTGCAACGACGCAAGACGTTCAGCACAGATTCTGAAGAAAAGCGCACGTCATGGCGCCCACCGCCTCTCCCTCGGAGCGCGATCCTGAGCGCGTCGGACCCCACCCGTCCTACATCGAGATCGCGAAGCCCTACATCCTGCAGTCGCGCATGCAGAAATGTCTCGCGGAGATTCATATGAGCGATGCCAAGGAGGATGCCGTGCGCCTGCAAGGCGTTGCCTGGATAGATCAAGTCCGGCGCGCGCTGCAGCTGCCTATCCGTACCTTCAACACAGCTGTCATCTACTACCACAAGTTCAGGCTATTACACGCGGACAATGAGTACAACTGGGCCGACGCGGCAGCTGCTGCGCTCTTCACAGCCTGCAAGATCGAGGACACGTTAAAGAAGAGTAGGGAGATTCTTTGCGCCCATTGGAACCTCAAGGTTGGGCCTGGTGAGAGCCTAAGCAGCGATGATCCGGTATGCACCTATTGTGAGCTAGAGTAATCGCAAGTCCAAAGTTAACACACCAATAGCGCTTCGACAACCACTCCAAGCTTATAATCGGTCTCGAACGACTCATGCTCGAAAGCGCCGGCTTCGATTTCCGCAACCGATACCCCCAAAAGGTCATGGTCAAGCTTGCTAGAGCTCTGCGTTTCGACGCGAAAGACGAGGCCAAGACAACCTGGAACCTGAGCATCGATTCATACAGGACGTTCGCACCGCTGAAGCAGTCTACGCCGACTTTGGCTATTGCGTGCTTAGAGCTTGCCGCACGACTTCACGGGAAGGATGCCTCCAAGTTCGTGGATGCAGGACCTGTGAGATACCACAAGTGGGCTACCAGCCGGGCAGAGGTTATGGAGACGCTCCTCGATATGCTCGATCTATACACCCATCACCGCAGCGCCACTTCGGTTGGACCCTCCTACACACTCGAACACTTTATCAACATCCGCATTGGACTCAACCAGGAGGCTTCAGCAGCGCACATCCCACGTTACTCTCAGTACAAGTCTGAGCAAGCCGCCGACGCAGAAGGCACAGCCAACGGTGCCAAGCCTCGCAATGGCATCGACCCTACCAGTCCGCTCACCCCAGCCACCCCCGTCGCACTCTCGCCTGGCGCAGACCAAGCACCCAAGTCCGCAATCGGCATTCGTGGTCAGAATGGCACGGTCCGGTTCATGTTGGACGCGGCCCGTGCGCACGGTGAGCGCGCCGAAGTTGAGAAGTTCCACAAGGTCGAAGAAGAGGAGTATGAGGTAGAGGTACCAAATGACCCCAGGGCAGATGATAGGGAGAGAGACAGGGCAAGAGTTGGAAGAGTGCGTTGAGTATTAACATGGATTTCACGTTCTTGGATTTTGCTGTTCTATTACTTGCGCATTGTATTGCGCACGATGGAGGCGAAGCTAAATGTTACTGATAGGACTCTATCGACAGTGCCGATGACTGGTACAGTGCTCCAGCCGCAGTAGATGATGCGAGGGATGGTGCGGGCAGTGAACGCGAAGGAGGATATTGGGACAGATTTCGCCAGCGCTCGGAAGAGGCATCGCTTGCTCAGTCGGCTGCTCACGTGGAAGAGAACGTCCACCCATCGAGAAGGGCCGCCAACTTCGACGACATCGATAAGTGCATTGTACAACAAGAGGCCAATGACGATGCCGGGGCTTCATTCCACGACAGGAACTCGGAAGATGGAGCACATGGCAAACGATCACGGAAACGCCCTCATGCACAGAAGCGGAAAAAGCTGGCCAAGCGGGGTGATTTCAGTGGTGATGAAGATACTCCTCGGATGGAATTAAGTTACGAGCGTCATCCACGAAAGCCGTCAAGTTTATCCCACAATGAAGCAGATCACGAGCGGGGTTTTGACCAGACCGATCGGTTCACACCTCCGCATGACCCCCGAGATGGCCACCTAAACTTCAGCCACCGAAGCCGTGATAGCACACGTGGAGGCAAGCGCCGCGAAAAGGGAGAACACTACCATGAGGCAGGTTACGGCAGCAGCAACCGGACAGATTCGACACCTCCCTTCCAAGACCGATACCAGAAGCGCTCCTACTGGCGTGAAGCGCAAGTCGCTGAAGCAAAAGGCAAGGACGACACGTCACCGCAGAAGACTCTGATGCGCAACACTTCCGAAGAGCGTAACGAACCAGGACGACTAGCAACATTCGTCCATCCGGATCGCATAGCGCAAGTTACGCCAGAGCCAGAGCATAGTCGAACTACCAGGCCCCAGGCACGCAGCGAGACTCTTCCTGCGGTAGATGTCAAGAACAAGCAGCCAACTAGCACGAACAAGGCACTGTCAGCGAATGATGGGCATCAGTGGGCAGGTACTGGCAACGAGGACAGCAATACCAGAGGAAGAGGAAGAGGTAGGGGCAGAGGCAGGGGTGGACGGGGTGGAAGGGGTGGCTATCGTGGAGGTAGAGGCAGAGGCGGCAGCTCGGAGGAATGAGTCCACAGCTTGCTTGGTCCTCGTCTTTGTGATAAAGAGAAATGTCAGGGGCGACGTTCATGTTTTGCTTACCGGAGATTTTGGTGATGTAGGATAGGCCTTTTGGACAGGAAAGCGAATGTACTTCTGCTTTCCAACTTGAGACACTGGTCTCGCGGTCAACGCACATTGTACTTTACTGGTATTCCAAAAGGCCTTCGTCGTGCTCTGAGCAAATGAGACGTGGCTACGCAGTTGGCCCAAAGGGCTGCGGAATTACCGGGGATAAGCCCAACGTGGTAGCAGCTTCATGAACGTACGCCTCTCGACTGGATTTCAAAGCGTCATCTTGTGAATCGCCTGCTCTTGACCCAGAAGATCTTTGGAAAGTATGGGGAGTCATAATGTTGCGTTTCTCAAGGGCGGGAGGGCACTGAAATTGCTCGATTAGATTGCTGAGGTCATCTATTTCCGGACGGATTCCAACCAAGGTGCCTCTGAAACCTGTGCCATGGCGCTGTTGGCAAGGAAATCACGAAAGATGGTAACCATTGTACCGGTGCATAATAATTTTGGGCTTTTCAAGGCGTAGACTTGCCACAAAGACCCAACTGGGGCACATGCAGCCATGCATTTTTCCGCTGCAAGGCCAAATCTAGTAGGTGAAATTACAAGTGACGATATTTCCCCCCGATCATGACCCACACCAGTCGCGGCGCTACCCAATGGTATGTATTGGGCCGCCGCGTTGTAATCCGCAGACGAGTGACTGGCAGTACCGCGAGAGATCAGTGGAGTCATGGCCTCGATTCTGGGGAAATCATAGAATTCAGCACATCGAGTTGTGCGGTACCAAAGCGAAAGGGCGCCGCAGCATGGCCAGTTTGGGCATTACAGGCTACTTCGCGCCACTGGTGGGCCGTGCTTTAGCGAGGAAAGCGCGACTGACCCCACCACTAGCTCTACTAAAAACCTTCGCTCCCCCTCGCAGAACTCTTCTCACCAGACGCACGCCCGCCTCTACGGCTTATAATCAACTCCCGTCTGTCTGACTCTGGTCGACTGCATCGCCAGAGACATCAGCTCAACCCGCGACCTATACACCGAATCCGCGCGCTCAAAGCGGGGTATTCGTCAACTCCCCTCCACTGAATTTTCGTAAAAGAAGAACAGTACCAACACCGCAAAGATGGTCAAGTAAGTTGCCGACGCCATTCCCATCTCCCTTCCAGGCTTGGACTTTTCGTCTCTTGTCTGCGGGAACAATTGGACAATCGCTAACATGACGCCAGCTTCACCGTCGAGGAGGTACGTTCCGCGCACACATCACCCCGCACCACACGTCGATATTGGCAACACCGGAAGGATGAATACTGACTGCGCGGCTAGATCCGTGGTCTCATGGACGACCCTAAGAACATTAGGAACATGTCCGTCATTGCCCACGGTAAGCGCTCTCGTGGCAACCCCGCAGCATCGGGCTGGACAGAAAGCTAACATACCCCACCACAGTCGATCACGGAAAGTCCACCCTCACCGACTCGCTCGTCCAGCGTGCCGGTATTATCTCGGCTGCCAAGGCTGGTGAGGCTCGTTTCACCGACACCCGAGCTGACGAGCAGGAGCGTGGTGTCACTATCAAGTCGACTGCCATCTCCCTGTACGCCACCCTCAAGGACGAGGACGACCTCAAGGACATCCCCGTTCCCACCACCAAGAACGACTTCTTGATCAACTTGATCGACTCGCCCGGTCACGTTGACTTCTCATCTGAAGTCACTGCTGCTCTCCGTGTCACCGATGGTGCGCTCGTTGTCGTCGACACCATCGAGGGTGTTTGCGTCCAGACCGAGACTGTCCTGCGTCAGGCTCTTGGTGAGCGTATCAAGCCCGTCGTCATCATCAACAAGGTCGACCGTGCTCTTCTCGAGCTCCAGCTCAGCAAGGAGGACCTGTACCAGAACTTCTCCCGTGTCATCGAGTCCGTCAACGTCGTCATCGCCACCTACTACGACAAGGCCCTTGGTGATGTCCAGGTCTACCCCGAGAAGGGTACCATCGCCTTCGGTTCCGGTCTCCACGGCTGGGCTTTCACCATCCGCCAGTTCGCTTCCAGGTACGCCAAGAAGTTCGGTGTCGACAAGAACAAGATGATGGAGCGCCTCTGGGGTGACTCCTTCTTCAACCCCAAGACCAAGAAGTGGACCAAGGTTGGCACACACGAGGGTCAGCCCCTTGAGCGTGCTTTCAACCAGTTCATCTTGGACCCCATCTTCCGCATCTTCCAGGCGGTCATGAACTTCAAGACCGACGAGATCCCCACTCTCCTCGAGAAGCTCGAGATCAAGCTCACTTCCGATGAGAAGGATCTCGAGGGCAAGCAGCTCCTCAAGGTTGTCATGAGGAAGTTCCTTCCCGCCGCTGACGCTCTCCTCGAGATGATGATTCTCCATCTTCCTTCTCCCGTCACCGCTCAGAAGTACCGTATGGAGACTCTTTACGAGGGTCCCCACGACGATGTCAACGCCATCGGTATCCGGGACTGTGACCACAACGGTCCTCTCATGCTGTACGTCTCCAAGATGGTGCCCACTTCCGACAAGGGTCGTTTCTACGCTTTCGGTCGTGTCTTCTCCGGTACCGTCCGCTCCGGTCTCAAGGTCCGCATTCAGGGCCCCAACTACACTCCCGGAAAGAAGGAGGACTTGTTCATCAAGGCCATCCAGCGTACCATTCTCATGATGGGTCGTTTCATCGAGCCCATTGACAACGTCCCCGCCGGTAACATTCTCGGTCTTGTCGGTGTTGACCAGTTCTTGCTCAAGTCTGGTACCCTCACCACCAACGAGACTGCCCACAACCTCAAGGTTATGAAGTTCTCCGTCTCTCCCGTTGTCCAGCGTTCCGTCGAGGTCAAGAACGCCCAGGATCTGCCCAAGCTTGTCGAGGGTCTTAAGCGTCTCTCCAAGTCCGACCCCTGCGTCCTGACCTACATCTCGCCATCTGGTGAGCATGTCGTCGCTGGTGCCGGTGAGTTGCACTTGGAGATCTGCTTGAAGGATCTCGAGGAGGACCACGCCGGTGTTCCTCTCCGTATCTCCGACCCCGTCGTGCAGTACCGTGAGACCGTCAACGCCACTTCCAGCATCACCGCGCTGTCCAAGTCGCCCAACAAGCACAACCGTCTCTACCTCACTGCTCAGCCTTTGGACGAGGAGGTGTCCCGCGCTATCGAGACTGGTGTCATCGCTCCTCGTGATGATATCAAGTCGCGTGCCCGTATCCTTGCTGACGAGCACGGCTGGGACGTCACCGATGCCCGTAAGATTTGGTGCTTCGGTCCCGACACCACCGGTGCCAACTTGCTCGTTGACCAGACCAAGGCCGTCCAGTACCTGAGTGAAATCAAGGACTCCGTCGTCTCTGGTTTCCAGTGGGCTACCAAGGAAGGTCCCATTGCTGAGGAGCCCATGCGCTCCATCCGCTTCAACATCATGGATGTTACCCTCCACGCTGATGCCATTCACCGTGGTGGTGGTCAGATCATCCCCACTGCGCGCCGTGTCCTCTACGCCGCCACTCTCCTTGCCGAGCCCACTCTTCTCGAGCCCGTCTACCTTTGCGAGATCCAGGTTCCCGAGCAGGCTATGGGAGGTATCTACGGTGTCCTCACCCGCAGGAGAGGTCACGTCTTCGAGGAGGCCCAGCGTGTTGGTACTCCTCTCTTCAACGTCAAGGCGTACCTTCCCGTCAACGAGTCCTTCGGTTTCACCGCCGATCTCCGTGCCGCCACTGGTGGACAGGCCTTCCCACAACAAGTCTTCGACCATTGGCAACATCTCACTGGTGGCTCCGCACTCGACCCCTCCACCCTCACCGGAAAGATCGTCTTCGACATGCGCAAGCGCAAGGGTATCAAGACCGAAGTGCCCGACGTTTCCAACGTAAGTTTCCTCCCGCATGGTCTAGAAACAGCATATGCTAACGAATTCTGCAGTACTACGACAAGCTATAAGGGAATGCTCGCAAAAGCGTTAGATTTCCTTTATTCGCGATTCTGGGTCATCCGACAGTCATGGGCAAGCTCGTGGCCGCTGGTCGATGTATGACGCAAACAGCTCCCCCATGGGACAACCAGAGCTAGTAAATGTCGGTCCGGGCGGTTTCGCCCTTGATATTAGTCAGGTTTTTTGGGGCTTTGCACGAAAGATACGGATGATGACCCTTTTCCTTACATGTTCTCAGTGTAGTATAGTTGGAGAAAATCAAGCTATATCGCACAAATACCTAAGCATCTTTTATGTGTGACATGTGTTAGTAAAAATGATGTTGTGGTGAGTGAATGCATGCATGGGATGTTCAGGCCTGGTAGGTGCGCCTCCTTCTGGTTAGATCATCTAGGAGTTCGAGATGGTGAATGTAGCGGGGCATCGGCGTCACGTGCTCACGGGTAAGAGAGCTATGACATTGCCGTCGCGCTAGTAGCAACGCGAAAGATGTACGCTCGGCGCAATTCAAGTCCCACCGGAAACACCACAGCGCAGTACCAGACTGCACCTCGACATTAACGCGATCGCGCAACCTGGTTATGAACGCAATTTGTCCCTAGGATTCGCCATGTTACTCGAGGAGAAAGATCATGCCGTGTTCAAGAGTTGGTTGCTACCGAATGTGGAGAACATGTAAGTCGAAGCTACACATTGCTCTCACCAAAGCTATCGCGCAGGCGCATACTGACCTGGAATATAGCTCCGGTGTGGAAGGTGGAGTGCTCGCTGACTATGTAGCCGCCCTCGTTACCGTCGACGACACCGATGCAAACGTGCAGCGTACCTTGATCGAGTCACTGCAAGACTTTCTTGGCCCGGAGAGTAAGCGCATGCGAAGGCTACATAACACTTCGTCGCTAATGGCCCAAAGACACCGAGCCTTTTGCAAAAGACGTCATTGCAGCACTCAAAGCTAAGAGCTATCTTCCGAAGCCGAGAACAAATGACGCGAAACCACAAGCATCGGCTCAAGCCTCACAATCCGCGCCCATACAGTCTATAGTTGGCAGCACGAACTTCGAATACGAACCGCATCCGTCGAACGTGCCATTCGGGGCCCCGAAAGGTCCTACTGCGAAAAGGAACTTAGCAGCATCACATCTCTTACCCGATCGACCGACTGCGCAGGGTTTATATCAGGATGGTTCGAACCAGTCGAGGAAGCGCAAGGTGTTGGAGAGGGACAACAGCCAGTCACAAGAGGGCCAGGATCCACACTATACCCGCAGCGGCGCAGGAAATAACAGGCCGTCGAAGCAGACAGCTCGCAGAGGCGGTAGGAATGCTGGGACTGGAGATGCGCGGACACAGAACGCGTTCGCGAGTTTTGGCGGTATGCCGAATTTCGCAAACCTTCCACCGCCGCCGCCAGGCCCTCTACCATTCGATACCTCAGATCCCATGGCTTTCTTTGCTATGGCAGCAGCCTTCGGTGCGAATCTGCCGGGCATGCCTCAGCTTCCTTTCTCCAATGCGCAAGACGGTGGCCCGAACCAAGGACAGCAAAAGACAAAGTGTGCTGATTATTATGAAAGGGGTTTCTGCGCACTCGGTACCCTTTGTCCACACGAACATAGCGACGCTGCCGTAGCCGTTTCGCCTGACGAAATCCCCGAGTACGATCCAGAGCAGTCTTTCCTTGCTGTACAGCCATCTAGAGGATCCAACAAGCAAGGAGTGTCCGGTGGCCAGCCTCGTGCAACTAAGGGTAGAAGGGCACGCGCATCGTTCTCTTTGCCGGGCTACTCGCGTGACAAGTCGAATAGGACCCTTGTCGTCGAACAGATTCCAGCGGAGCATTTCAACGAGGACAGCATACGGAGCTACTTCTCAGAGTTTGGCGATATCGATGAGCTCGACATACACTCTAGGAGGCAGTTAGCAGTGATCAAGTTTGCTGATCGCCAGACCGCTAGGCGTGCTTATCACAGTCCCAAGGCTGTCTTTGAGAACCGGTTCGTTAAGGTCTACTGGTATGCACCAGAGACAAAGGAAAAGTTAGCCCAAGAGAAGCAGGAAGACGAAGAGGAGAAGCTCGACCTAGAGGCGATCGCTATTAGGCAAGCGGAAGCTCAGAAAGCGTTCGAGGAGCGTCGTCGCAAGGCCGCGGAAGCAGACGCGAGAGCTGCAGACATCGAGAGACAGCTGGAAGAAAAGAACAAGGAGATAGAGGAGATCAAGCGACAACTTGCTGAACTATCAGGGGACCCGAACGATGACTTTGCTCAGACTCTTGCAACGCTACAGGCTGAAGCAGCGGAACTTTTCGATCAACATGGTCCTGGCGAGCAGGAGACACATGGCCGTGGCGCCTTCAATCCAGCTTACCGAGGTCGAGGATACGCTCCCTTTGCACGGGGTAGGGGCTTCGCACCTTACCGGGGCGCGTACAGGGGTCGTGCAGGTGGCTTTGCTGGTCGAAGTGTGGTGAATAAGAAGCTCGACAACCGGCCTAGGCGCCTGGCAGTCACCCAGATCCAGCCAGATACACCGAGGGATGAGTCTCTACGGCAGCACCTTCTCGTGAGTATAAGTTATACCTGGATTCATTCATCTCTGCTAACGATATGTACAGAACATACCCGAATGCACAAATATTGAGCGTCACCCCGAGCAAGCCGACACCCTCATCCTAACTTTCAAAGAGCGCTACCAAGCAGAAACTTTCCTCGACCAATCCCTCAATATTCCCGACGTTGGCAAACTCGATCTCGCATGGGTTCCGAACGACGCCTTTGGTGGTCTCAAATCCGTGACGACGACAAATGACACACCCACAGCTCCTCACGACGATGATGGTGATGACTCTTCCGCTACCATCGGAGAGCAGGAGATCAAGGTCGAAGAAGATGAGGATCGGCAGATGGGGGGCGTGGATGCGGATATGGATGTTGCGGATGATGTGGATGAGTGGCTGTAAGTGATACCCTTGGCATGTGATGTGCAGTGACAGACTCTGCAATGTCTTTCTGTTCTCCTTTATTACTATCAAACATCAGCGTGGCGTCATGCTTTTAGGTCAAGGAGCATGGTGTGTTCTCGAGATAGTCTCTTCGCATGAATGCAATGCATCAATATATCATATCCTAGGTCTCACAACGTCACATTGGCGCAGATATTCAAGAGGCTTCCACGCCCCACCTCACATATAATATTACACTCCAGCCCTCCTATCTAATCATTACCAGTTGAGCCTGCCCTTATCCCTCCAACTCCGTACACCAGCTCCAACAACAAGTTCACTTGCCACGCCGTCCTGCACAACATCCTCCCCTGTTCCCAAACTCCTTCCTCCAGGCCTTTGGAAACCCACACCCTCTTTACAACATAGCCTGAAACCTCTTCACCTCACCCCCCTTCACACCGTCAAACCAACTCACTCTATCCTTGACAAACAGCTCGCGCGTCGGCTTCAACTTCGTCTCGACGAGATTGAAATCATCCACTGTCCCAAGCCGCAAGATGGAACAATCAGGGAAAGCAGCGCCAACACGATACATGAGCGTCCCGCACGTCTTGCAAAAGTAGTTCGTCATAGTATGGCCCGAAGCTATCGTCGAGGCCTGACCATACGACGACAAGTTAGCTCGACCACGGAGGTGGCGCAGGTGTCTGTTATATCTCTCGTCAGTAACCGCATTGCCATCTCCTCCACTCCCTCAGGATCATGAAAATAGGAACGAAAATAGGAAGAAGAAAGACTTACTCATCCCTAACCGTAAAATTACTAGCAAACATACTCGCAGTAATCTTCCTGCAATCCGCACAATTACACACAAAAGTCGATACCAACCCGGGTCCCTCGACCGGGAAAGCGAGTTGAACCGCGCCGCAGAAACACGTCGCTGTCGCTTCTTCGTTGTTGGAGAAGCCGTCTTTGGCCTGCCCCGCGAGCGGGAAGTAAGGCAGGGATTTATCGGATGTGCTGACGGATAGGGCCATGGATGAGGCTATTGGTGCGGGATCTCTGGGTGAGAGTGTTGTTGGTATGACGGGCGTGGGGGTTTGAGTGGTTCGAGTTGATGTTCGCGTTGATGTGCGGGTCGAGGGTTGCCTTGAGGTTTGCGTGGAGGGCTGTGTTGTTCTTGTGGAGTTCTGCGTTGAGGGTCGCGGTGTTGAAAGCGGGGATGGGGATAGTGCGTAGGCGTTTCCTGGCGCTCGTACTGGCGTTCTTGGTAAAGGCGGGGGAAGACTAGTTGTTGATGCTGTTGCCTCGGTAGGATCACCACCAGTACTTTGAATCGGTATATCTCCCCAGTTTGCGAAATCTTGGATGTTAGACCCGCGGCCTAGGAACATGGAACTTGCTTTCTTGCGCAGCGAGGAGTGCGATGGTGGCGTGGAGAGTTCTTTCCGTTTCTCCGTTACTAGTAGTGTTGTTGAACTCTTTGACTTGCGCAGCACGGCTGGTGGTGGATTGTCGGTGCCGGGGATGTGTAAGTCGGGATTCAGACGCTGGGCGATTTGCTTGATGAACTTCATGGTTGCGGTTGGCTTTCCTTCTCTTTTTTATGTTCCTCTCCCCTTGCTTGCCTCGCGATATGTTGTGTACCCCAGGATTTGTGATAGTGAGCACTAAAACCTTCGCGGGAGCTGCCAAGTTGGCTGACAGATCCAGATAATGCAGGTCGAGTTTTCCCTTCCGTTCGTTCAGTGGCTATACCGGCTATCGTTGTGGTTGTTGTTATCGATGGTGTTGCTCAGTAAGCCAATATATCATTTCGTCATCGATGTATTACACACACATGGAAAACCGTCGTTTTAACCCCGACTCCGCATTTCCTACAACTTCCAGCCCCACAAGGTAAGGATTCAAGAACACAACGGACCCCCGGTTCTGGGATCGAATGGATCGAAACAAACGACGAAAGGGGAGGGTTCGTTGCTACGGACTTGTTTTGGTCTTCCAAGCCAGCAAAAAACAATTATGGCACGCGTCGCGTGCTTTCCGTTGGGACGGCTTCACGTTTGAGGCCTGATCTGCGGTGTTAGTGGCCGATTGGTGGTTCCTGACGATATGCAGGGATCGGTTGCATGCGATTTGGACGGTTTCGGTGATTTGGTAAGCATGTCCGTTGGGTCGTGTTCATGGGAAATGCATAAGCTTTACTGTTCACCCTCATTTTTTGTTGAGCAGGTGCGACATCAAGCTAGGACACCAATGAACCTTGTATCTGAGACAGTACTGTAAAGTGAACTTTTCCCATGTTGCAGCTATGGTAATTGTTCATTTTCCCAGTTCTGGTTTTCAATAGCTACTCCATGATCTCACTCTGCCTCGCTCCTTCCACTCCATGGACCCAACTCACCCTGTCCTTGACGTAGACCTCTCGCTTGGGTCTCAGTAAGCCCTCCATCAGATTCAGATCGTCGACGGTGCCTGCTGCATTTAGTACACACTTCGCCTGACCGGAGAACATCACATACCAAGCCTCATTAGGGTGAATTCGGGATGCCGCTCAGTCAGCCGGTACATGAGCGTTCCACATGTATCGCAGAAACAGTTCGTCATCGCCTGGCCAGAAGCAGTCGTCTGGGACTGTGAGAACTTCTTCAGATTGTCCTGGCCGCGAATGTGCTTCACAGCTGAAGCCGCGACAATGAAGGCCGAGGTAAAAGCTGACGCTGTGATCTTTCGGCAATCGGTGCAGTGGCAGACGAAGGTGTCTACGAGGCCTGGGGCGGTGGTTGGCTGCGTTGAGCATTAGAACTTTGTCGTATAGGAAGACCATGGTGCCACTGGAGCACGAACTTACAAATGCTAGTTGTACAGCTCCGCAATAGCATGTAGCTGTCGCCTCGCCTTCTTTGGAGTAGCCATCCTGCTTTAGACTGTTGTGGGGTATGTACGGTCTGTCCTTATTCGAGTCTCGTGTAGACATGGTCGTGATACCCTTGCTTGACTATGATGTAACCGTTGCAGAAGAGGAGTGAATGTGGACGATGCAAGAAGAAGCTTTTTGGGGGCTCAAAAGCGATGCTATGTAGTCATGCTTATCTGTGTAACCCAACCTCTAACTCCGATGTATTGCCGGAGGGAGTGCATGTCCGACCCTCCTCTCACTCACTCCGCTCACTCCGTTAGTTTCATACAGGCCCCGGACAAAGAAACACGGGCGGTCCATATGCGCTCGTCGGGCGCCAGCATAATCCTCATGGTAGCCTTACTGAGCTGTAAAGTGTGGCATTCTCGGACAAAGACTTAGGCATCTGAAGAGAGACCCATCGAAGTGACCGGTAGACCCTACAACTTACTCGCCTTACCCTGCCCCAGGGTAACAACCAACTTACCAAACTGACTCGCACTCTTCATATCCTCAAACAGGGTATCAATCTTCTCCACATCCAAACCATGCACACTGCGACTGACCACAGGCTTCATCTTCTTCTCCTTGACAAAGCGCACCATATCAGCAAACTCCTTCCTCGAACCCATGGTGGAGCCACGGACTTCGATGTTGCGCAGCACGGCTGACATGAGGAAGTCCATTTTGGGGGATACGGTCATGCCGTATATGGAGATGACGCCGCCGGCCTATATTGATAAATCAGCTTATTATTGCAATAGATGGAGAGAGGGAGGGAAAAACGAACCTTGAGTATCTTACTCCCCACCTTAACAACATCACCTCCAGCCCCGTCTACAATAGCGTCCAGGTACTTCCTCTCCTTCGGCAGCATGGCCTGAAGTTTCTTATCCCAATCCTTCTCCTTGTAGATAACACCTCCCTTCGCACCCAACTTGACCGCCTTGTCAATCTTCTCCTGGTTCCCGCTCGTCACGTAGACATTGCAACCTTGTGCCACAGCAAACAGCAACACCATAAGCGCAACGCCGCCTCCAATACCCGTCACGAGGATATTGCGTCCTGGCATCGCATTGCCGCTCTTGACCCAGAACGCGCGCCACGCCGTCAGCCCGGTAAGGGGCAGCGCAGCAGCCTCCTCGTCGTTGAGATGGTCGGGACATTCCTCCAGCTCACCGGCGTCGAGCGCGCAGACATCTTGTAGTGTGCCCACGGGATTGCTCTTCGTGCCGCCCATTATCGCGTACCCCTTGGGATGTTCGGGGCCGTCCATGCTGTCCTTCCAGCCCGTACCGGGGTTCAGCAAGACGCGCTTGTTGAGCCATGATTGTGCCGAGGGGGATGCGCCGGCGGAGGTGACGATGCCGACGCCGTCTGCGAGGAGGGGCACGCCGAAGGTTGTGCCGGGGTAGAGGTGTTGGCGGATGAAGAGGTCGCGGTGGTTGAGCGCGGCGGCGGTGAGGGTTATGAGGGCCTGGGTGATGGGGATTAGATGGTGCGCGAGTGTCAGGTTGTGGTAGAGGGAGCTTACTTCATTTTCTTTCGGCTTGGGCTCGGGGACAGTTATCTTCTCGAGTGGGTAGTAGACTTTCCCCGGCTTGCCTTCGACTTGTCTGATCACGATGGCGGAAGGCATTGTAGTTGATGGCGATTGAGACGTGATGTGGTAACGCGTAGCAGTTCAATGTCGGTGAACAGGCTAGGGAGGATGCGTGATTAGATATGTGCAGCTCAGATGCGCGGAGCGATGACCCGAATAGCTCATCATGGTTGTCGTGCTCGGATGCATGACGAAAGAGCTCCTGGACCGAGGTCGCGTTCGGGGCGGAGGGTATGCTTATCGATCGATGCGGGGAATCCGGATGACGGGGATTACTCGGTCTTTGCAATACAACACACATTGGGATTCATCAGGAGCATCTTGTAGTGCAATTGATATTTCTTCATACAAGAGTCATGGTTGGCAGCTTCGTTTCGTGTAATACATTAGTGATGAGGTTCCTTTAGGGCCTCCATCTGAACGACGGATGCCGCCAATCTAGATCCTCAATCTCTCCCTGCGACTTGCCAGCCAGTTCCTGATCAACATCAATGGCGTCACGCTGCTTGTTACTCCTGTTGATCCAGAGCAACAATAGAATACTCGATATCAAGATCGTACTGCTGGTTGCCAGGTTGAGCCCATTACCTATGGGATAATTAGGCGCATCTGTGGGGAGGAAACTCCAAGTCGAGATCAGGCCGCCTACATTGCCGAACATGACAACGGTACCTAACGTTCAGTCAGACTTTGCTTTGATGACGACATGCAGATTCTAGTACTTACCAATAGCGGATGCACGCGCCGTGTCGGACACAACGTTGGCGGAGCCCTGCGCGTTGCACAGCGCGCCAAACGAAAATGCTCCCGATGCTATGAGGAAGGTAGCACCATATCGAACTTGCCCATCTGTACTGGCTAAGAACATGATGTATCCAATCATCATAAGCGGTGCTCCCAGGATGAAGAAAATCATGCGCCTATCGAATCTCCAGCTCAGGAATGGTAGGAGGAGTGTAAAGAAGGCGCCCACGATATACGGTGGCACGGTGTGAAGTTGCTGCGAAACAACTGTATCGTTTGGGTATATCGTCTTGACGATCGTGGGCGCGAAGAAAGCCAGACCCTGCACCGTGATGTTGTCGAGAAGGAAGATGAATGAAGTCCCCAGTACCACAGGATTGAAGATACCGCGGAGCGTCTTCTTCCTGTCTAGCTTATCCAGGACCTCGTTCTGGCCGACACGTTCGGACTGGATCAAATGTCAGCAGCTGTACTATACATACCAGGTTGTCTAGCCGAATCCACACTTCACTGTGCCATGTATCTTCCAGAGTGTATAGTAACATACCTTGACCCGAGCAATCGCCAAATCCTTCTCTTCCTGCGTCAACCAGCGCGCAGTCTCTGGACGATCTGTGAGCGTCATGAAGGAGATAAAGGCCAAACAGCATGTGACAATGCCCTCGATAGCAAAGATCATCCTCCAGCGTGTGAGCGAGCCGAAGGAATCGAGCGTGAGAATCGCTGAAGCCAACAATCCACCGAAAGCGCCAGCTAGGGGAGACATGACAATGTACAGCGACAGTCTGAACGCGAGCTCAGAGCGTCTGTACCACCGGGACATGTAGTATGCAATACCTGGTAGCATACCAGCTTCAAAAATACCCAGCAGAAAGCGTACGCCACAAATGGCATGGATGTTGTGAACAAAAGCCGTGCCAATCGATACGATACCGAAGCATAGTGAGATGATAGGGATGAACCAACCCGGACCAAGCCATTTACAGCAGATATTGGACGGGATCTCGAAGACAATGTAGCTGACGTAGAACACGGAAAGAACGGTATTGTAGTCGTAACCACTGAGTCCAAGGTCCTTTTCGAGGCCCGCTAGACGAGCGTTTCCGATGTTGGCACGGTCGATGAAGCAGAACAAATAGAGAAGGGCCACGGTCGGGATAATGTACAAATCGATCTTCAGGCGGAGACGTGACTCTGCCTTTTTATCAAATTGCATTAAAGCATGGCCGTAGCTGTCGAAATTGTCAGCAAAGAAGATCGAAGAGATTGGCTAGACTCGCATGTCGGTAGCAGTATGGCCGTGTCCCGCAATCTGGTGCGCGTCCTCTGGTTTGAAGTCTTCATGTTGGCTGCTCGGCGTGTCTTTTTCAGCCGCGTAATCCGTCTGGGCTTGGGCCATGGTGAAGCGCGTCAGTGCTGAGCGCGTTCAGGTACAGAGAGAAAGAAGGAAGGAACGGCCTTTTTCTTAACAACGGCAAGTCGTAACGTCGCAGCCGCACCTCTGCTTTATTTGTACTCCACACCCCCCGGAAGGTCCTCCTTCACGCCGGATCGCAGCTGGGTCTGGCCGGTGTCCTTGTCAGCGCCGTTTTTGATGGAGCGCGCGCGTGCCAAGGTAGATGGCTGTCATTACTAGCTCTCGAAGTGGTGAAGCGCCTGGGGCACGGTTGCCAGTGGAGCCTTTCGGCGTGGAGACGGCTCTTCCCCGGACTCCACGATGATCGCCGACCCATCTATCTGAAGGCAAACAGCCGTCGCAATCCTTTCATGTGCCGTCGGGTGTCAGCGTCGGTATATGGCCGTTTTTCGGTTGTAGATAGGGCGTAGGGCTCACTTGCTTGCATCGTCATGGCAAGATCTCTACCCGGGTACCCCGCTACGCCACGACTCTTGCCACGACTCTTGGGTCTGGGACCGATCAAACATTACCATGTGTCAAGCGGCTGATAGGCTGACGGGCTATTGCATGTCCGAAATCGACGGGAGAGTAAGGGGACGTGTGGGTTTTGCGCAAACGTAAAACGAGTCAACGAATTGCACCTGCATGGCCCTTACTAAGCTTCGCAACGCTTGTGGAAGAGCGTCCATCCATTTCATTGGTACGTTCAACTTCTGCCAGCAGAAACCTCATAGGAACAGATGCTATGCGCCCTGAAGAAGGCAATGACCCAAGTTTTCGACCTTCTCACCGGTCTACAAATGCTTGTAGAGTTTTGACGTGATGTGAAGCTTATCGCCTAATCTCGATTTTCGGAGAGATAGCGTACCAGGGTACCATGTGGTGGAAATGACTGCTCGTAATTGGACGCAAATACGTTAAACGCTGCCGATCCTGATAGATATTATACATATAGCGGCCCTTAGAGTAAGCGGTGTATACTCGAGGTTTTAACTTTCACTCGACACGCTTCTGTATCAAAGTCACCGCCGCTGCCAGCGCACCGATAATGTTACATCGTTACCCTGACTGAACATGCAACGCACTACTGGCATTGCTCAAACTCTCTGTTCATCTTCAATCTGACCGTTCTGCCCCTATTGAACTTCTGGTTCTTCTTCCATCCAGGGCAGAGCATATCGCACCTTCCAACGACGCAACAGTAGCTCACGGAAACCGTCCATATCAGCAAGGGCTGCTTCAGGAACACACTGGTACATCGCAGCTTGCGGATGCCCGAAGTAGCCGGTCTCCCTGTCTCGCGCTTCGATTTGATCCTTTTCCTTCTACAAGTCAGCCTTGATCGTTATTACTGTCGAGGATGTACGTACACTGCGCCACTCGTTTGTGTCTAGGACAAAGCGAGATGTAATGTCCCATGTTTTAGGCCCCCTAGACACTTCGTTATAGTCGACGTTGCTCGATATGACCGTGACATGGACGCCGGAGTCTATCAGATCGCACACAGTTTGCCGAATGCTCTCCATGATGTTAACGAAGTGACGCTCGGATTGTTGAACATCAGCGCCATCCTTGGCGAACATGGTATGTATCTCGATCTCGATGTGAAGCTCCTGTCGGCCTTTCAGTCGAGTAAGAGGATAAACCTGAGCCTCTTGTTTAGACACGGCAGCCTGCGCGAATGTGGAGTCGTCACCGAGGCCGTATGCTGGTTTGTAGTAGTCACTCATCTTGTCTTGCCCGTAGCGCGTGTCAGATTCCCAATGTTCGCATGCCAGGTATATTTTCAGATGACGAATTTGCTCCCACGGGCGCACAAACACCCTCCAAAACGGTTTGTCACTAGGCACTGTCCCATGCAGCAGAAAAGTGCCCAAAGAGTTAGCTCGCATGCCAGTACACAAACCGACTCTGATTACGAAACGGTTCTTCGACCAATATGTCTCGGACAGCTCGGTAGGTACGACCTCCAAATTTGACAGGTATGACACATCCATTAGTTGGCCACCCGATCCAACAACCGATGGGTCTGTCCGAGAACCAGGCTGTCCAGGAAGAGCAATCTGTATGGTGTCTGGATGAACGCAGACATACTCATAGACAAGGTCACGTATCTCTCGAGGCAGTCGAGTGAGGAAAGGCTCCATGAGGGCTGGCGCTTCTTTAAAGACGATGTGTACCGACGTAGCATCCATTTCCCTAGTGGTGTTACTACTGGCTCCGGGTGGTAGTCTTGCGCAAGGATCCTGGGATTGGGAACAACCTCATCGTACCTTTCCAAGTTCTCTACTTCTCTCTTGATGGCGTCTTGCTTCTTCTTCAGCTCTTTCATCTCTTGACTGATCTTCTGCAAGTCATTCGAACGAGTTTTCTACACAAGAAGCATACGGATTTAGCGACTACACAATCCAACGTCTGCATGTTTGCGTGCTTACCAGCTTTGCATGGGTCTGGCGCAGGGTAGACCACATTGCATCGGTGTCAGAGGCGTCGGTAGAGCGGTTATTCTGGCCGCTGAGCGACATTACGGCTTTTAGGGGTCTTTGCGATAGTTTGTTGGGTGTTTGAGCATGTTGAGGAGTAGACGCGGTTGCCTAAGGGTTGCGTGAGGCATTTGGAGCTAAGCCACGCTAGCGCGCCTGTTTCATCTCGACATGGGAGGAACGTCCTAGACAAAGGCATCGTGCGGGTCGCAAATCCCGTCTCGTTTTCATTCTCTTCTTGAACCTTAATTGTTCATCCTAGCAAGATTCGGGTACTTTGAGATTGCCAGGCTGTTAACTTTGATCAGACCTGGAGAAGAATGCTGTATCGAACATTAGCCCAAGCGCATGGAAGCAAAGAGTAAGGAAACGACGATCTTCATTTTGAGACTTTAAACATGCATGGCTGCTATTCTTAGATCAAAAGCGCCCCAATGCCTACTCAGTAACGACCGAAATACCATGGTTCTCCACCGCCATCTCCTCAAGCACCTCATCAACCCTCTTCTCAGCAGCCAGGACTTCCTTCTTCTCTCCGCCCTCCGCAAGCTCCATCATAGGCTTCGTAAGAGCATGGAACCCTGCTTCTCCATATTCCATTTCCACAAATTTGCCCAGCGCGCTGTACACTAGCTCTCCATGACGCTCCTTATCTGCCATCAACACACCCACGGAACGGGCAACAACATCGGCCGACTGCACGTTGCTATCGCCTAGCGCAGCGATCATGGCACGGGGCACAATCGCTGTGTCGGTCCAGGATGGGGCGACGGCGTTGATGCGGATGGGTAGTCTGGGGTGAAGTTGGGGCTGTAGAGCGCGTAGGAGGCCGAGAACGCCGTGTTTGGCTGTGGCTTTGGGATGTGTCAGCACTCACTCTTGAAATGGGTTGACGAGACGTACTGTAGTCTTCAGCTGGGAGTCGCGCGAAGCTTGAGCCCGATGCTGTCATGACGATGCTGCCACCGTTGGGGTTCTTCTTGAGGTAGTGTATGGCCAGCTTCACGGTGTACATTACACCGACTAAGTTGACGTTGATTGTGTTCATCTTCGGCGGTAACAAGTCGCCATTTTCGTCCATATCTTCTTCCAGGAAGCTTGTTGATTTTCCTATCCCGGCATTCGCAAAGGCATGGTCGATCTTCCCGTACTTCTGTTCTGCTGCTTTGAAGACGTCGAGTTGCTCTTTCCAGGACGTGACGTCGGCTTTCAAGAAGGGGACAGATGATGCTTCGGGCTCAGGAAGGGGAGTGAGGTCGCTAGCAAAGACCTTGCCGCCATGCTTGATGATCCTTCGGAGTGTCGCAAGTCCTATGCCCGATGATGCTCCTGGTGCGCGTAAGTAGTCGGTAAAGGATATCCGGTCATGTTATCCTACCAGTGATAACAGTTACCTGATCCTTCAATCCATCAAGTTGGCCATCCGAGATAGTGAAGCTCGTCATTGTGTTGAGTGGGACAGTGTGTTTGTGATGAAATGTCAAAGTACTGAGATTGGAAAGGGCGACTTGAATGCAGGTAAACAAACACTGTCTTGGCAGATGCAGAATTGGGTGAATATGAAAGAACAGAACAACTTCTTGAGCGACTTGACAGGAGGCATATAGGAAGGGGCACATGTACTATGATTAGCGCAGATGGAGAGTCGCCAAAGCAGACGCCTACGCCGCATTGTAGCTCGGGACCACGGCAGACCCCGCATCAACGTACGACTACGCTAATCACCGGTGTTCGGTACCTAGGTAACTTGTGTCACTGGGAGGCACAGAAATAATACCAACAGTTATGTGCCCATTGCGACAAGGGTTCCTTTTGGCTAATTTGCTGGCGCCTATTCGTGTCAGGCAGCTAACTTTGGAACTGTGCCCCAAACAGCGGACGTTCTGTTGTGCTCACCTCGCAGAGGAGCCTCAGATGCTCAGTATGAACGTATGATCGGACCGGGAGGGTTGCGCTGCTCTTGCGAAGGTCGACACTTGGGTAGGTTATGCTCCAATGCAGCCTTCAAAGAAGCCTGTCCAACTTGACAGTCCGCAGTAGTGCTCTTTCGCTCCTCTGTATTCTTGCTTCATAGTCAAGGACCGCACATGAATCCGCCATGATTTTTACAAGCGACGCGCGCGCTGACTGCCGTTGCATTTGGGTATATGTCCGCCTCTCAAGCACCACCACCGCCTCCTCCTCTTCCGCGACCGCGTCCTCGGCCCCTCATTCCTCTGCCTCCACCACGATCGCCCCGGTGGTCTCCTCGTCCATGCATGCCTCCTCCTCGGCCGCCGCGGTTCGCCTGGTCCTTGGCTTGCTGTTCCTTTACAACGTCGACGATCTCGTCCGGCACTCGGAGGTACTTTATCTGGATACTGGTCAGTAGAGTGTATCGAGAGGGACAAGATGATCGCCTACTGTGCTTCCGCGAACGTAAATCTCTGGTAATCTCATGAACTTGTCACCGTCGGCGCTCGTTTGCACAACCTCTTTCAGTGTAAGGTTCATCCATGTGTCGCAGTTGACGAGCAGTCCGTTGAGGGTTTCGCCGCTCTTCAGTTCGACGAGCATGGGGTGGCCGGTCGCGGCCGTTAGAAGGCCCAATGGCAGCTGTGTCGAGAGTCAGTAAAAAGGCGTGAGCTGCTGGTGAGTGAGGTGACGTACCATATTGGCGACCGGGGTGGCTCGCAGATAGGCTGGGTTCTACGTATCAAGTATTGTGGATCCGACGAGAATGTCGCGACGCAGTTGGAGAGGTTCCTAGGACTGGGTGAGATCGAGGGCGAGATACGTAGTCGGGTTAGTGATGATCTCCCTCATTGCATCGCAGGCCGCGAGAGCTCGGACCACAGTGCCTTGGCGAGCCAGCCCTACGAGATGCGACCGAACACCATCCCTCTACTCCGTATATCCACTCCTCTAGGACACGACCAATGTAGTCGACTTACTTCCGAGGCCACCAATAACAGACGGCCGGTCCGAATGGGGTTTGCACCATCTACTCACCGAGTCCTCTAACCTGCACGTGCACGTGTGGCAGCTGTGCGTATCTAGGTAGACTATACATGTTCTTCAACTGCTTTGATTATCATGATTCCAGACACATGTAATACTCTCATAGAGCGAATTCGAAAGGAAAGAGAATGTCATGGGCGCAAGTCACCGGGTACTCAGCCGCATGGACGAGGACCGCACCAATGATGCTGCCACATGGCCTCTCAGATCATACCTGGGTAGATTTCATCGCAACCACATTTGCATTTACAAAAGTACACACTTTCGCATCCTCCCGTATCCCAGTGTTTCATCACACTGCATTATGCATAGTGCTGCCAGCTGAATCGTGAGCCGACGTCTAAGCCACGCTCACGCTGACGGCAGCCACTAGCAGCTCTGCGCCTTTAGACACCGAAACGCCCTTCGACTGGTGCCTGATCGAACCTCTGGGAACATCTGTCCCATAACCCGCCAAACCTCGCTCTCTTTGCGAGTCGGTGTTTGTGTGCGCTGTCTGCACACTCGATCTGCTGTTCAACTCGTGTTCTTTTTTGCTTTCAATATGCGTTCCTTCAAGTCCAAAGTGCTGTCAGCCTGCGCCTGGGCGGCACCTGTACTCGCCGGCGTCATACCTCAACACGAGCGTCACGCTGCTCGCGCCGACGGAAATCTTTTGCAGCTAGGTACGCGCCCCTCTTATACTATCCCACATTCGCCATCCGTAGGCAGCTGCTGAACTTTTGCTAGACCTTCAACAGAACTACGCGCAAGCTACCTTCAGTGTCCCCTGCACTGGCTGTCTTGGCCGCGATCACACGGACCAGGATGACGAGTCTTTGGTAAGGCCCACCCTCAGGCACCTAAATACCATGCCACCCGCTCACCATCCTTAGACCTTGAGTTTCACCAGTCATGCCCAGGATCAAGCTTGTGGTTCTTCCAACATTACCCTGAACGGACTTCATCTTCCCCAAGAGTGGAACGGCGACTTCGCATCTGGTTCCGGTTCCTACCAAGGCGTTACCGACCTCACACAGAATGAATGGTTTCTGCAGCACGACTTGGATCTCGAATGGCAGACAGCCTGTCTTCGTGATAACCTGGAAACGGAAGAAGCAGCCCAAGTAGTAACGGTCAACATCAAGGCCATCGACGGCAAGCAAGTCACCAAACCTGCCGGTTTTACGATCTCGTTCAAACCGCAGACATCACCGCCTTCTTTACTCAGACTTGAGTCTGTCCCCAACCCCTCGGCAAGCAACAAAGACGTAGCTGAATCCTGGCGCAAACCTCCTCGGTTATTGCGTCTGGCCTTCCACAACGTTACCGAAACTTCAAAAGCGAAGGGCAGACTCCCGTCTCTCAAGGACGACATCCGCGAGTTGAAAGTTCTTCAGAGGGAACTCAAAGAGCTCGAATCCACTATCGCCGAGAAGAAGAAGCAGATTCATTCTGTGCTAAGGCAAGAAGCGAAGGAACTATCGCATCAATTGGGTGAATGTGACGGCGTCTCGTGCATCGTACAGACTATCGCCCATGAAGCAAAGTGTGCTTGGGAAATCGTATCCTTCCATTTCAAACCCGATCAACGATTGAAAGAGATGAACAGCCCCGAGCAAGTGTTCGCGCAGGCACACGGTCATGCTGCACAGGTGGCACAGATCTCTGGAAGTCACCTGAAAGCCGTGACTTCAACACCCCAGGTATACGAGGCTCAAGCAGTATGTGCCTCCATTCAACACCCCACCAGTTGAAGCAGAGATTCTGATGCTGACCCCAAATAGAACGAACTGCCACCTCGTCCACCTAAGCCATCACCCTACCTTCTCGCCCTCGAGATCACACTGGGTGTTCTCTGCTGCGGCTGCCTAGTCGCCGTCATCCGCCACAAGTGCAGCAGCCTGCGAACAAGGACCGAGCGTGCCGCAGCCCGAGAAGAACGTCTCAACGCCCGCGCCTACCGCCGAGCAGCCCGTCAACACGCATGGCGCAGCTGGTGGCGCGGT